TCAATTGTTTTGAACAATATGGACCAAAATTAAAAGGGAATTGAACATTTGTATTTATAGGGCAAAATGTGTATAAAGATACTTCTGTACAATAAATTTGATATAATATCAATATTTCGATATGAGTTTTTGATTTTTATTTCTCCCCAATATACTGGTTTTATTTGAGCTACACTTGTTCTCTGGGAATATTTTAAATATAAGAAAGTTTTAATAATGAGCAGGCTTAGGCTATCTTTGATGCTAAAATGTATTTAATTTGCATAGTTTTCATAGCTATTGCCCATTTCTTTTCAACTTGTTCTTATTTTGCATTCTTTATTATATAGTTTTCATGTTTAAACAGATTAGCAATTTTATTTGAATATTCCTCTTCTTAATAACTATGAGGCCATTTTTTGAGACAGTGCAAAGAATGTCCTATCACAAAATGTTAACACTGAATATTAATAAATTAGAAATATCACTTTAAAAATCACATTACTATGGATTTGAAGACTTAAAAGTAGCATTTTACTTGTATTATGATAACCTAAGAAGAATGTATACCAATAAATACTGTGCTGGCAAAACTTTATCTAATTGAGACATCTGAAATTGCATGCTAAATCCCCAAATTCCTGTTTACAATTATTTTATTATTTTGATTTTGATTCTTATTAGAAAATTTCAAAAACTTGGTGGGATGCAAAGAAAAACATTGAATTCTACCTACTTCCCATCACTCTGCAATAGCCTTATTTGTGTAATTGAACATTTTTTTTTTTACAAGCACAGTCTTTATAAAGGATACATTATATTTCAGCCTAACGATGTACCGTAGTAAGTCTTAACCATTCTTCAATTACAATTTGATAATTCAAACTTGATTGACAAAGTGCACGAGAGAAGAGAAGGCAGAATAGGTTTAGGACTGGATGAGGCATGTCGTTTTGATTCAGAGAGCCTGTGCCACACGTCTGTTACATGTTTGGAAACACTGAGCTTGAACTGGAATTCCAGCCTCGCTGGTTTGGAGATGGCCGGTGCGGTGGTGGTTGAAGTTAGCCTTGGTGGGATTGATGAAGAGGAGCTCCGAAGGCAGAGCCCTGCCTCTTCTGGAGTGCAACATTTCTTTTTTTTTTTTTGAGACAGAGTCTCACTGTGTTGGCCTGGGCTACAGTGAGTACCGTGGCGTCATCTTGGCTCACAGCAACCTCAAACTCCTGGGCTTAAGCGATCCTCCTGCCTCAGCCTCCGGAGTAGCTGGGACTACAGGCATGCGCCACCATGCCTGGCTAATTTTTTCTATATATTTTTAGTTGTCCG